TCCCATGGTATTCTTTTTCTTTTTTTGCATGATGTTCTTCTTACCTCCAGTAGCTCTTCTTTTATGTCATTGAGTCTCTTGTAATTCCCATGATTCAGTCTTAAAGAATAAAAATTACAAAAAGATAAAATAAATAAATGAATAATAAATCTTTCAAATAACTAAACTATACTTATTGAAACTTCTAATAAAATAATAATTAACCCAAATTAATCTTTTTATTAACAATTATTAAACTAAAGCTTGTTTTTCTCTTTTGATTATATTGAATTTGGTAATTAATTTTTTGTTTCAGTTGAAGTGACTGATACACCATCTCCTCGTTCTCTTTTTCTTTGTTCTTGAATTTTTCTACATTCATTTTCAACTTGTTCTTTTTCTTGATTTAGTTTATTTAGTTGTTTCTTTAGTTCATCTGTTTCTTTCTTTGTTGAATCAATTCTACTTTTAGTTAATTTTGCTTTTTTTTCTAATACTTCATTTTCTATATCAAGCATTTGTATTTCTTTTCTTAATGTGTTTAATGTTTTTTGTGATTTATGTATTGAACCTCCTTCTTCTAATGAGTCTTGACTATCTTTTTGCTTCTGATAAATGTTTTTTAAATCTCTCATTTCTTTTTGTAAACTATCGAGTTTTTTGACACACTAACTTGTCACTATTAAATCCAATGATAATTTATACTTTTTGGTTTAACTAAAAGACAAACATCTTCTTTCTTTAAATGATGAGTCTCAATTTCTAATTGAAGACGATTTCTTGTCATTTCAATATTTGTTTTTAATACTTCTATTCGAGTGTTATAATATGAAATAAGAAGTTCAGCATTTGCTCGTTGCTCTTCAAATTGTTCCTGTAGGGTTTCAAACTCAGATGAACTCATCTTGTTATTTGAGATGAACATAAAAATTAAGCATTTAAAAACAAAAAACTTGAAAAAAAGAAAATAAGAAACCAAATGGTGTTTCTTTTTACACTTGAGTAAAAGCTGTATTATCCAAAGCTAACAGAAACAGTTTGAATGACTCCAACAATAAGACCAAAAAGACCTAATGCACTAGCAAAAATTTCAACAATCAACATTTTGACAAATAAGGATGAGAGTTGAGCATCAGCCAATGCAGCCCCTGAACCAGCAACACCAACACTCACACCACTTCCAAGATTACAAAATCCAACAGTAAGACCAGCACCAAAAATCATATAACCAGCTTTGTATTGGTCAGGTGTTGGTGGAAAGTCAGTCTCTTTTAATTTCCCCTAAAAAATAAACACAATTCAATCTTAAGATTAACTAAGTGAAAAAAAAATTGATGAGACAAACAAAGAAAATAAAACCAGCAATAACACCATAAATTGCTGTTGCTTCACAGAACAAAATTGAAATCAAGTGTTTTGATCTAAAGGTTGTTCGAATAGATGAACCCATTAATGATGAAGCTGTTAATAAAATTCCCCAAGCAGCACCTAAAACAGAAACAGCAACTGAAAAGAATATTCCAAACGTTGCAAAATAACCTGGGTTTATTTCGAGGAATGATTTTGTAAAATCAAGAAAGTTGTAATAAATCAATGACATTTCTCTTTATTTTTTAAGATACTCTATTTTCATTTTTGTTTTCAAAATTTTAATTTAACAAAATTTTTTAGTTAGTTTAAAAAGGAGGGAGAATTATAAAATATTAGAAATGATAATTATAATTAATAGTTTTAATAAATAAAACACAAAATAAAAACAAAAATGAAAAAGTTCCCAAAATAAAATATTTAAACAAAAATAAAAAAAAAACTAAAAAATAACAAAGTGATAAAAAAATTTTAATGGAAATTAAAGAACAACAAGAATTTTTTAATACTATTTCTAATGGAAGAACCATTGTATTTTATCACTCATCATCATGTCCATCATGTAGGTCAATTGAACCATATTTTGATGAACAAGTAAAGTTATGTCCAAATGAACAACTTCAATTTTTAAAAGTAAATATTACTGATTTTCCTGAAATTGCTCAAGAAAATAATATTAGAAGTGTTCCAACATTTGTAAGTTATGTAAATGGAGTTTCAACCAAAAGATTTACAGGAGCATATAGAGATGAAGTTGAGAGAATGATTACAAAAAATATAAAAATGTTAAATGAATAATGTTTTATAAAACATTTTATAATTCAATTAATTTAAAATTATTATAAAATATTATAATATTATAAAAATACAAATGAAATAAAAAATATTAAAATTAAGAAGAAGATAAATAAAAAATGAATATTTTTTTTTAAACAATAAAATAAATTTTAAATATTTCTTTCAATTAAAAAAAAAAGAGAAAAAATTTAAATCAAAGAAATGAAGAAATTACAATAATATATTGAAAATTTTTTAATAATAAAGAAATAGTAACAAATTCAAAAAAATCCGAAGGTGAAATATAATCAATCAATCTTATTTTATCTATAATTAATAATGCAAAAAAAAATATTAAAATATTAAAAAATTCAGGTTATCTTTTTATCATTCAGGATTTGTTTAATAAGCAAAAACATCATCCAAATGAGTCAATCTAATGAACCCAAACAAGAAAGTAGTTTTAGAAAAACACGAAATGTTCAAGCAAATCAACAGTCAGTATTTCTTGCACTTATTAACAAATATTTTACAATTACTTTAATTTCACCAAAAAAAAGATCAACCGTTGCACAACAAATGGTTACAATTCAAAATATTCAATACAAAGATGATATAGTTGAAGTAGAAGAATTTATTATAAGAAGATTAAAAGAAATTAATATAAGAGATATTTCAAATGGTGTTAGTTCAAAAACAGCGTCAAGACGTTGGGAAAATAATAAAATAGCAGAAATTAATAATTTATTAATAGATATATTAAAAGAATTGGGATATTCTTTTAATTCTAAATTAACTAATGGAAAGTCTACTACAGTTAAAAATGAAATTGTTTCTTCTATTCTTTTTAATGGTAAATTAATATTAACTTCTGAACAAATTAATATTCATGGAAAATCTCTTAATACCTCTTTAAATTCCCTCTTCGTTGATAATAAAATTATTACTTTAAACAGAAATGATCCATTTTTTAATGACTTCTTCGCTTTAACTTAAATTTGTATGATATTTTTATTTCTAACTAATTTTTTATTCCTTTTTATCTTCTTTTGTCGTTTAATTTCTTCTTCTCATTACAAAAATATAAATTTTTTTGAAGTTTGTTTTATTTTATTTTTCTTTTTTTTTCTTTCATTTTTTTTTTGACTAATATAACATGTTGTCTTTTGATAATATGATTTTTTTAAGTATTTAGTTGAAAAGTAAATCACGAAGATTTTATCAAAAAAAATAAAAGGAATTAGCTTCAACAAATAAATAGTGATGTTATGTTATCATTCTTTTTTATTATTTTTATTTTGAATGAAATGTTTTCTTATGAAAACATGAGATTATTTTATGATAATATATTTATAGATTTATCTTTTTTTTTTTGAATTATTTTTATACTTCATTAGCACAATTTAATTTTTAATAACCTCAAAGACAAATGTTAATTAATTTATTAAATCATAAATAATATCTCTATTAATTAATTTTTTTTTTTTGTTGTTATTCTAAAATATTTCTATTTATATTTACTCACTATTTATTCATTAAAACAAAAATATATTTTTATACTCTTTTTGTCGAATATTTTTTTGTAAGTATTATTAATAGTAAAAGTTTTGAAGTAAACTTATAATATAATAGAATAATGTTAAAAATTTACTTTCGTTAATTTCTCTTTTTTTAGAAAAAAAAAGGTCAATTATTAGAAATATCCACAATGGGAT